TTTTCAGATGTTCCTGAGAAAGTCAATAAGGGAAATATATGTTAATCTAATCTGCCTAGGCATGCTGCCATGATTTAGTGATCATAAATATTAATTTCTGTGCCTAAAAGATGAATAAGGGCAGTGAATTTTAAATGAAACTAAGAAAATATTTTTGAAAAGAAAGAAGTGGTCTAAATGAAATATACCTCTTTGCAGTAATCATTTTTAATTCCACCCACTAATATACAAACTAAAACACTTAAACTTTACCTGTCTTTAGGCTGATGGCATTTCTATAAGTCTCTCACAGTGTTATTAACACTAACTCAAGATGAAACTGTGAAGTACTGATGGTAATACTTTGGGAGAGTTTTAAGTGATTGTCAGCTCACAAATAAGTTATACAACTATAACTAGCCTTGCAAAAGTTAGGTACTTGAAGTGGTAATGTAATCCAACAAAACATAGTCTAGCTGTTCTTTATTTTAGCCAAAAGCCTGAGAATTTTTAGAGCTTAGAACTTAATTTTAGATCTTGTAATATTCTTGAGTTACTTTAGAATGTATTTTAAATATATGGATTAGGAGGAATCGTTAATTTTCTGTTTCTTTTTTTTTTCCTATTTGTAGATGAACAACTGCATATCTCAAGCTTTCTTTGTTCTGAGTAATTCAGTAATAAGAAATCAGTCTCTGTTATAATTCAAATATCCTGATATAGTATAGATACTACAGTAGAATAATTACCACTTACTAATAACTTGAAGTATACCAATATTTATAAAGAATTTCCACTGTCCATACAAGTTTATAGTCTGATTAAGAGATGGAGGTATTTATGAAGATACTTTTATGCCCGTTTGTGTGGAAGGGAAAGAGTAATTATCTCAAGTAATATTTTTCCCCTAATTAGAATGTGGTACCAAGAGACCAAGAACATGAATTTGTGTTAGGTTTGAAGAGGTTAATTTCACCTCAATAGTTGTAACATGTATTTTCAGTGATTTTTAAAATGATCTGCTAATTTTAAAGTAACCAAAATTAATACAAAACTCTTAGTTGTGAGGAAACACAAAGCAAGTTAAGAGACTAAGAGGTCTGTTACTATTAACCGAAAAAAAGAAAACAAATCTAAGAATATGGATTACTAAGCTTGGGACAGCAATCTCTTTAATCATGAGTCAGACTATATTATGGATTGTGAGTTACTTCTGGCTGTCCCTAGGAGATGATTTAATATTATTCATTGTCTTCTGATGGCACTAAATTAATCAAGTCTGATATTGTACCACTTGAGCTATTTAGTTTCTTAATGGATGTAATGTTTCTAGGCTTCATAGGTTACAAAACATTAATTCTGAGAGTTTTAATAATAGAAAATCCACACCAACTGTGAGTTATTTTTGACACATAGAATGAATTAGTTGAAAACTCAACCACTTCTTTAAATGCATTCTTATAAATTTAATATATCATCTCCATATTCTTTGATAAGATGAACTGACAATAAATGTTAGGTATAGAAATATCACTTGATGGGGCGCCTGGGTGGCTCAGTTGGTTAAGCCACTGCCTTCGGCTCAGGTCACGATCCTGGAGTCCCTGGATCGAGTCCCGCATCGGCCTCTCTGCTCAGCGGGGAGCCTGCTTCTCCCTCTGACCCTCCCCCCTCTCATGCTCTCTCTCTCTATTTCAATCTCTCTCTCAAATAAATAAAAATCTTTAAAAAAAAAGAAATATCACTTGATGAAACCCATTTACAAATCATTATTTATATTTAAAATTTCTTGTAATATATGTTGAGAGATGGAATAGAATATCAAGAACATCACCACTTGAAATTTTAGTATGTGGTAAACTTCATGATTAAATAAAAACAAAAATAATTTCGGCCTAGAAGAAAGGAATCCCAGTGCTATATGACAATATGGGGATAACATATGGAAGATCATTCATGGATATAATGTTTTTAAGGAGGTAACAAGGAAGAGTTAGTTGCATAAAGATTAGAATGTGGAAAAGTAGGACCTAGATAGTGAAAGAGGTTTAGAAAATTAGCTTTTTTTTCCTACTCAGGAAAGAAGACTGGATAGATTTAATAATTGTTTTCAAGCACTTTGGCAACTGTTGAATTGATCATGATGGCCAGCTGTATGTTCTATCTTCACTGATGATGAAAAACAGGAAAAGTGTTTGAATTATATCATGGAAAGATTTACTTATACCTAATGGAAAGCATAGGTGATCCATGATGTTTTTAAAAGAAATTTTATCATTAATAGAATTTTTTTTTTACAATGAAATATGGTCTCTCTCCTTTTTTCTAAGGATTTTATTTATTTATTTGATAGAGAGAGACACAGCGAGAGAGGGAACATGGGCAAGGGGAGTGGGAGAGGGAGAAGCAGGCTCCCCACAGAGCAGAGGACCTGAAACGGGGCTTGATCCCAGGACCCTGGGATCATGACCTGAGCCGAAGGCAGACGCTTAACGACTGAGCCAGCCAGACACCCCTGAAATGTGGTCTCTTGTTTAAATTTTCTCTTGAGAAATTCTTGTGTAGCCCATGTTTTTGTTACATGACTGGACAGAGGAAACAATTATTGTTTTGCCAAAAAAACAAATTTCACTTTAAGTTCAATTTATGGTTCAACCTCCCAATTTGAAATAAAAATAAATTATTGTCAATTTTCATAATGAAATATTTTAAATAAAATATAGAATAGTATGAAGACCCCCAAAGACTCTTAACTCAGCTTTGTTAATGACCAATATGCAAGGAATCCTGTAAATATCTATATCCCTTTGTCCCTCACATTTATTTTGAAACAAATACCTGCCATCATGTCATTTCATCTGTACATATTTCAGTTTGTGTTGTGAAAGAGTACTCTTGTTTTCAACATAACCACAATATCATTATCATATGCAGGCAGATTAATAGTAATTCAATAATATCATCATCCATTTTTTTCCCCACAGTTTATTTGAATCAAGATAAAAATGAGGTCCTTATCTCCCAATTGGTTAATATATCTCTTAAGTCTTTAATAACATATGTAGAGTTTCAATTTGATGATTTCAACACTGTGGTATTTAGCATATTACTCTGCTACATATTCCTTATAAATTGGTAGCTAGATCTAGAAGCTTCGCAAGATTCATGTTCACTTTTTTGGCAGGAATACTCCATAGGTGATGTTAAATATTCCTATTTAGAGACATGTAATTTCTGGTCATCTCTCTTTCTGTGTTTTTAGCAGCAGTTAATGATTGTTACCTTGATTCATTAATTCACTAGGTGTTACAGGATGGTTGTAATTCTAAATCTATATTCCTTCATTGTTTGTTAGATGGAATCTTTCCAAAAAGGAAAAGCTGCCTTAATTAGTTATCCTGAGTATAGTTCATATAGGAAGGGCAGGAAAATGCTTGTTTGTTTTCCTTTATTTACCAATTTCAAAATAATAACTCAGCTCCTAGTATCTTCAAAGGCAACCAGATATTTATATATATTTAAATATCACTGATTCAGTTTCTTTTCTGGTTATCAGTCTGTTCAAGTTTTCTATTTCTTGCTGTTTCAGTTTTGGCAGTTTATATTGTTAGATATTAATAAGAATTCATGGATTTAAAATGTTATATATTTTAAGTCTTTTGCAGTTATTATTCTGATTGATATCCAAATTGCCTCATCTTTACTTAAAATGATTTTCATCACATTGGCTCCTGAGTCTTTTGACATAAGGCTGATAGTTTTGGAGAGCTTCCTTGCATTTTGTATAACAAGACATTCTAGGCTAATCTTATATACGCTTGGCCAGTATTGAATCAATCCAATTTTTAATAATGGTTTTCCAGCTTCGATAGTTTTTTTTTTAGAAGCACGTATTTTTGCCATAGTAAATAGATTGAAATAAAGTGTAGCACATTAATAAAATTTATAGAGCAGTGTGATCACATTAGGTAAATCCCACATTTTATAGGCAAAAAGAAATCAGCATTCTTCTGAGAAAGATGTAGTACTTTCTGGAAACAAGAAGATGATGTGATGAGTCCTGAATTCTTTTTGGAGCCCAGATTTTGTGTTGTTCATTAAGTTATTAATAGAAATGAAGAATTTAGGTTGGCTGTGAAGAATTGAAGTGATATGGAAGACAAGTTTATGTACTGCTTTTCCAAGTGCTAAACTGCAGATTTAACTTAAGGTAATAAATTCCCCAATTGTTTCCCTTCTCAATCCTACATATGAGGTAATGTATTTTTATTAAAAAGAGAAATAAATTTTCTAAGTTGTATGATGCTATAAGCAAAGTTACTGATAAATAGTAAATGGGTCTTACATTTGGAAAGTTAAGTAAATGTAACAAATCTGAGCTAGAAAACTAACTGTTACCATCTGGGTTAATAGGTGAACATTTTAATCTCTATGGGATCAGTCCCGATAACAAAAATATGATGTGACAGAAGGCTGAGGAAAAACAGCTGCCGACTGAAAGACAATAGGAGGAAAGATAATAGCCCCATCGAGATTATTGGCTTGTATGCTCACAGAGACTTATGTACATTTGTCTCCCTGAAAATGTTTGCAACCTCTTGAGGATGTTAATATGAAATGATAGACTGTCATATGTAAAGAAACAGTCTTTCCCATTCTGTAAGAGAAAGAAATGTGTGTAATGTCTTTGGATCTCACTTTAACCAAAGGTATCACAGACATTACTCTTCAGTAATATCCGAAAGAAGACAGCTGAGAGAGCTGAAAGAAGGGGAGACTATTTTCTCCCAAACCATGGTTCTTTCCGTCAGAACAACAGCATATAGATAAAAGAGTTTTTGATGTGAAGCGGAAATAATCGATGTTGATAAAGATCATCATTGTAGCTTTTTAGAGGAGTCAACATCCCCTCAGTTGCACAAAAATATCAGCCTTAAAAATATATTTGCTGTCAATTTCACAACGTAATTCTGAGTTATTCAAGTATTTTTATCAGTCATCATTTTTCTTTGCCTTCCTAGGCTTATCAACACTGCAAGCTGTGCTGGATTCTGCTGCTGAAAAGAAATGGCAAGTGACTGCTATCAATGTGGGAAACATTAACAATGACAAGAAAGATGAGACATACCGATCACTTTTTCAAGATCTGGAGTTAAAAAAGGAACGGCGTGTAATCCTAGACTGTGAACGGGATAAAGTAAACGACATCGTAGACCAGGTTGGCTACTCTGTTTTCTAATGACACCAAGTATAGAATGTGCATGCAGTGTCAGCATTTGCAGTATTTGTGTGAGGTGCTGAACCGCAGTTCTTCCTTTATGGTTTATGTAGGATGCAGCAAAGATCATCAATTAAATTATCTCTGGCTTTGGTTAGCAATAGCAGATGGTCTTCAATCATGCTGACACATCATATTAATCATTAACTATATTAAATATGTAACTATTGAGTCTTCTGTTTTATATGGTAAGCATTGCCCTAAACTTCGATATTTTTAGTTGGAAATTTAAAATTTAACTTGTTGAACTTTTTAGAGATAAAGGAATAGCCACCAATTAAGTGAAAATAAGGCTGGGGTTCTAAGGGAAATGTGAGTAGTTCCTGGCAAAACATGGAGAACGTCAAACATTAGAGCACGGTATGGAACATTAAGCCTATATTGTCTGAATGCATCTGAGTCTTCAGAGAAAGCCTGTATGTAGGAGAGACATAGTCTGTGTTTGATGTTTGAGAAGCTTACTGGACATAAGGATGTTTTATTTGTGCTTACCATACCACCTTGATTCCACTTAAGGTCTTTTAGGATAGGACAGCCATTCAGTAATATCCTAATGATAAAAATAAGATCCACTATATTATATACATAGGTTAAGTGACCAGGGATGTTGGTGAAGCAGCATCATGATTTAATGTGTTAAGATCTGCTTCACTGGGTATCTGCTTCTTTTCCCAACTGATAAATGTGTGTGTGTGTGTGTGTGTGTGTGTGTAATGGCTGCTAGTTCCTTGGGATAATATAGGACTGGAAGAAAAATATGCAGCTAAGTATGCATTTCTAGGTCTTTCTAGGCTTTGCGGAGACAATTAATTCACTAATTTGTATAACACAAAGCATTTTGCAAACATGAATGTTGATGCAGCTTTAATTGATATGTAATAATATAGGCCCTAAGACATACAAAATGGATCTTGCATAAAATATTAAATAACTGGATAAAACTAACTTGTTATGAGAAAGAGCTAAATGTTATTTGCCAGAGTGGTGAACATTTCCGTGGAAAAATCTTGATTCCTGTCTCAGGAGATGAAGTTAAGGTTGTTTTTAACCTGAAGGTCTCGTGTTCAAATGTGAACCTCAACAACTCATTTGAATTTCATAGGAGAGTCTCATTAAAACTGAATTTTAGTAATAGTTATTAGTCTTTTTGTAAAGAATTTATGTATTCATGGATCATCATAACAGATGATATATATATATATATATAAATGAAGAGAACAGGATGTTATGAAAAAAATTTAGATTAGGAGATCATGGAAGATCTTTAAGGAAGAGAGTTTACCACGCAAAAAGTGGGCTTGAAGTACATTTCAAGAAAAGGAAACACTATTTACTTATTCATCTATCAGTACTTATAAGAGAACAGAGGTGATGAAACTTTATTGTTATAATAGCTTAAAGTTAGAAAGAGAATCAATCTTTGTTGATTATGAGTATTTTATCATTCAACAAATCCTTGGAGTTACTTATTTCTGATTGTGATTGGGTGGGAAAAAGGACTCAGCCATCAGAAACATTTAGAAATCAATATAAATTTAGTATTGTTAGTGCAATGTTAATGATTATTATAAAGCGAAAATGTGATAGTATGGTCAACATGAATTCCTATGTAGAGGCAGAGCTAGTAAATTTTCATATCCCCTCCCTTTCTTTCAGTGAACGCTAAACTCAACTATTGCTAGCACCATTTATATGATTTTGTTGTTGTTGTTGTTGTTTGTTTGTTTTTAATTCCCAGAAGGAGGACATACATGATTCAGAAAGTAGAATGAACAGTAAGCAGAATCAACAGATGTCAGTAGAAGTATGAGGGACATAATCAATTCAATTCAAGTGATGCTAATTAATATATTTTTCATGCAGAAGGACATCTTTTCTTCACAATTTTCCTTTCAATACAGAGGGTTCATTTTCTTGGAAACAGCGATTTAGTTGTATTACATAAAAATAGGTTAGAAAATGATATAAGCCCTAACTCTCTTCTAAATAGCCATCACTTAACATCAAAGGGGCATTTGATGGAATCTTTCCTAGGATTTTTGCCCTTGTTGTTTAACTAAATGCATTGCTTTGGAGTACCTGACTTTGTCTGGGATAAGGGAAGGTCAGGGAAGTCTTCTCCCAGGAGGTAACATTGGGCTGAGATTCCTTGTGCCTGAAGCATTAATAAGACAAATGATATGGTGGTGGAGAGAGCTTTCCAAGCAGAGGAAATAGAATATGTGAAGTCCTGAGGTAATGGAAGGAAGCCTTTTCATGCACAAAAATACTTAAAAAGAGGGCTGATGAGACTCTAGTATAGAGAATGGAAAAAGAGGGTCTGGAGAAGCTTGCAAGATGATTGGACTTTGTAGCATAAATTAAGGATTTTGATTATTATGCTACAAGCAATGGGAAGCCATCAAAACTGTCATCAGGGAAATGGTTTGAAATTTGGTCTGGGTAAATGAGGCTAATGGTTTGAAATTTTGTCTGCAGCCCTGCCGTTTCATGCTTTCTATTGGTGTGGCAGTTCTATTAAACATAAAAATTATATTTGAATATCTAAGTACTAGGACTATAGTGAGGTCATTTCACCAATGTCTACTCTCTTGAATTGCTATAGATCAGTGAAAAGTCACATCGATTCAGTAATGCCCCAAACTGTCGTGAGCATTACCAAGACGACCATATTTATCTTGCCATTGAGTTTTGACTTAGATTTGTGGAGAAAGATTAGCTTCTCTGATGTTTTGCTGCCTCAAACTGGAAATAAAAATGTTCATTTGAACTAAATTGCAAACATTTCAAGACTCTTAAGATGGGAATATTATTTTATAGATTCATATAAGAATTATATGCCTATTAATATTTTTAAAAATTTATGTTCTACTATAAGTTTGAGTGTCGATGTGTGAATATAAAATCTCAGGTGTTGGTTTCAGCTGTCTAATGTTTTAGAAAAATAGCTTTTGTAGGAATAAAATTGTGACTTATTATGGATTCAATATTCTTTTCATTTTACATTTCTTAAAATCTTGTGACCTTATTTTCACTGTTGACTAAACTGAAGTAATTATTTGTTCAGTTATTGACTTCTTGAAAGATAGCATTTATAAAGCACTAAAATGTATTGTTACTTTTTTCTGAGAGAAATAGTCTCTGGATTTGATAATTGTATTTTGTCAAGTAGGACTCATCATAGAATATCAGAAAATAAAATTCCACTTTTTTCCTCAATTGGGTCATAACATCAATAATTTTAATTTATATTATTTGCATGTATTAAATAATTGTTTCTTTATCTTTGTTAGGTTATTACCATTGGAAAACATGTTAAAGGTTACCATTATATCATTGCAAATCTGGTAGGTGAATTAATTGATATTTATAATTTTAATAGAGTTACTTATAAAATAGTTTTGAATGACCAGCATTTATCAGTGTTATTTTTAAAAACATATCTTGATTATATTGATCAATTAGAAGTGATAATATTTTTCTGAGTTTGTGTTTTAGACTCACTTCCCACTTTACATTTTCTAATCAATTTCCTATTATAAGTGATGTAAGCAATATTTGACAAACTTTATAAATTGTCTTAGAAGGCATATTTAATTATGGAAAAGTTTTCAAAAATATATAAAGTTTAGTTGTTCAAATTTCCTCTTGTTTCTCACTATCACAGTGTTTTATAATTTTTCCCTCTGTGCATTCCTTTAAAGTTTTTAGTAAATATAGTATCTGAAATAAATGCACATCTGGGAGAATACATCAGTGAAAAATTAAAGCTGCAAATGTCAATAATATTAATATATTATTATTTATTTCTGATTTTCTATTTAATATGTAAGCAACACAATGAAATTAAATCCATGTACCTGATCACTTTTTCATTGGGATTTCTGTCAAATTACGATTATACTGAATATCCAACTGGTTAGTTGTATCTCCCTCTCTTAAGTATAATCAGAGCCAATTTAGAATTATTGTTAGATATTTTTTTCAAAATAGTTTTCAGATCAGTAGTAAAATGACCTTAAGCCTTTACCGTTGCAAAAGTTTATGTTCTTTGAGGAAGTATGATCTTACTGGACTGAGAAAACTGCCCTCCCCAAACTCAGGAAGATAATAAGAAAAGGAAGGAAAAAATGAGAACTTATTCTAAATAGCATAATAGGACTCTGAAAAGGTTTCATATTTACCCAAATGTAGAATTCTTTCTTTATTTTTTTTCTTTTGTTTGTTTGTTTATTTAGAAAGAGAGAGGGAGAGAGAAAGAGGGAACGAGGCTAAGGGCAGAGGGAGAGGGAGAGGGAGAGAGAGAATTCCAAGCAGGCTCTATGCTCAGCATCATGGAGCCCTACTCGGGGCTTGAGGTCTTGACCCTGAGATCATGACCTGAGCCGAACCAAGAGTCAGCAGCTTAACCCACTGAGCCCAGGCACCCCTGTAGATTTGTTTCTGTAGGTGGTTTCTGAAATATTAGATTGTTATATCAGAAGACATTCTTTCTAGTAATGATGGAAAAAAAAAAAAAGAACTTTACAACTGATAGATACTGTTTTCACTAGAAGGTGGCACCAGTGATTTAGAATATTAAATCTCAAACCTGCATGTTATTAGTAGAAGTTGATTGTTCAGATAAAACTTCTGTTTACCAATGAAATTGCTAACTACTATAAAATTCATTAGAATTTATCCATTAATATGATATTATAGATCCTAAATGACCCCCTACCAGAGAAGCAAGGGTTAAAATAGATGAAGCTCTGTATTCACTCTCTTCAGAGCCACATTCTGTGCAAAGAACAGCCTGGACAGTCAGTCCCCTGTGTGAATTGTGCCATTTGATGAACAACACAGAGCCACATTGAAAGCCGTGATCTTTAAAAATGTCCAGATGGAGAAGATTATATTGGAACATTGAGAAATAATGACAGAAGGTGGCTCATCAATTTGAGAGTTGATATCTGATGCTATGAAAAGGAAAGAAATGTACGGATGACCAAAGTAAAAAAATAAATAAAAAAATAGAAAACAAGAGCCTGCTGCTGTCATACTTCTAGGGAGGAACATACCTAGTATTTTATCTGAATTCAAATTCTGCTTTTCCATTTCTGAATACTTGGTATCTTCACCATATGGAACTTCTAGTGAATCAGTAAGTTCAAGGATCTGAGGAGTGCTGCACTTTCTGAGAACTTAGAGCTTGAAAATTTCACTGACATTTAAAATTGAAGAATGCCATTCAGAGTTGAAGAGCTTTCATCTTCCAAACTCTTGGTTTGAGATGTCCCCCTTCCCCTGTCCAGGGTCTAATGAGTGTTAAAGGAGGTGGCTATAAAAGGTAGAAAAGTCCTCAGATACCATTATTGATGAATTTCCTCAGGAATTGGTAATGCTTGATTAGGCTCCCAAAACACAGATTGTGATTAAGTTCCTGATATAGCATTTAAAAGGATAATTTTTACATAAAGTGATGAAGAAGTGGTCATGAAGGGATCCAGTTCTCATTTCTTCAACCCGTAGATATGGACAGAAAGTACTGCAATCCATCGCCACCTGCCTACCTTACAGTGAAGCACATTTGTCAAGGAGCCTACCCCATGCACATGGAAATTCCAAGAAATGTTTTAGTGTCTAAGTGTTAAATAGCCAAAGAGAATCACGCATTTGAGAAAAGTCTGGTCCATGAAGGATGTAATACAAAACAAACAAATAAATAAATGAATAAATAAAATAAACAGAAAAAGGGCAGGCAGAAAACACAATAAAAATGTTTAAAATTGTAATGAATATCTGCAGAGAAAGAGAAGAAAATTAACTATCCATAAAGAAGGGGGAATAATGAAGAGGGAGGAATTGGAGGGGGAGACGAAACATGAGAGACTATGGACTCTGAGAAACAAACTGAGGGTTCTAGAGGGGAGGGCATTGGGGGGATGGGTTAGCCTGGTGATGGGTATTAAAGAGGGCACGTACTGAATGGAGCACTGGGTCTTATACGCAAACAATGAATCATGGAACACTACATCAAAAATTAATGATGTAATGTATGGTGATTAACATAACATAATAAAATTAAATTAAATTAAAAAAAGAGAGAAAGTATGTTATGAAAAAAAAAACTCAGGGAATAAGAAAGACCTATGGGAAGTTTTTTTTTTTTTTTCTAAAATAACAAGTAAAATTATATGACTTTGATGATAAGGTTAAGAAAAATCTTCCAGAGTATATAACAAAATGACAATACAATATGAAGTGGTGTGTGCAGGGAATTTGTGAGGAACTTAGATGTTTAATCTAAGAGTTACAATATCTTAATACTAGGCATTCTAGAAAGACAGAATAGTGAAGACAGGGGAAAGAGACTATCAAAGAGCATTCAGAAAAATTCCCAGTACTCAATGACACAAATATGCCCACTGAGTACACAAAACAATGAAAGAAGAGAGACTTCTTTCACGTTTCAAAGAAAATGTCGTCATGAAATTTCAGAGATCAATAGAAGATCTTAAAAGTTTCGGACAGATGGGAGGTGGAGGCAGAGAGGAGTATGAAGCAGGTCACATAAAAAAGTAATTAGAAATAATGACATTGTATTTTTCAATAGGAACAATAAAAGTCAGATTATGAGAGTCTCAACCTAAAATTTGGTACCCAGCCAAAATAATCAAGTGTCAGAGCAAAATGAAGATATCTTGAGACATTCAGTGTCTCAAGAAATTTACCTCCAATGTGTCTGAGGAAAGTATTGAGGGCTCTGGAAGAAGAAGGGAGTAAAACATGAGAGAATAGTGATCCAGGAAGTGGGCGAACAAGTCGGAAACATGGTGAATGGACACTCCAGAGGAACAGTTGCAGAGGAGATGGAAAGAGGCACCAATTCAGAAGGTCTCCTGTCAATTAAATATTCAGAAAAAAAGAGAAACAGATTACTTGATGTATTTGATATTACTTAAAAAAATTTACTTATATAAACATGAAAAGTTCTCATGGAGCAACTAGAGAAAAATAAGGATAGGTATATAGAAAACTATAGTAGTGAAAAAAATGAAGCAATTATTAACGCCAGACCTGGGTGGTTCAGTTGGTTAAGTGCCCAACTCTTGATTTCCACTCAGGTCATGATCTCGGGGTTCTGAGATCGAGCCTTGCCTCTGTGCTGAACTTGGAGCCTGCTTAAGATTCTCTCTCTCTCTGCCTCTCCCCCTCAACTTGTGCTCTCTCTCTCTTAAAAAAAAAAAAAAAAAAAAAAAAAAAACCGAAAGAAGGAAAATGCAGTCCTACCACATTATTTGACTTTGTTCTGAATAATAGAATTATAAATACGAAAACCATGAACATGGAAATGAGTGAACAGGTAAATGTGAATGAATTATATACTCATCTGACAGAAGCAGAAACTCAATAAAAAATATCTAAAATGGATAAATTAAGAAAGAATAGTGAAAAGGTGTCATACAGAAATATGGAGGTAAATATATGAAAAACAAAAATTACTGAAATTTATTGCTTTGAAGCAGCTTAACTGGAGCAGGGGTGGGGCAGAGCAGAAAAGCTGTGACTTTTGTTCTATATATTCTTGCACTATTTGCATTATTTTAATGAAAAGAAAAACCAAAATAATGAGCTAATAACAAAGTAATTATCCTTCTTCACACAAATAGTATTAAAATATGTTTTTTAATATCAATAACAAAGAAAAGATTCTCCTGTATTTTGGATTCAGGGATGTTTTCAATCCTATGCAGAATAATAAGGAGTAAATGTATAAGGTAAAAATATTTATAATTGTGATTTATTAAAATTGTGATTTCATCTTTGAGAGAATGTACTCTCAAATTGAGATAGAATTTATGACAGCACAATATTTGAAATCAATGGAAGCACCACATGATAGTTTTACTAATGACTGAATTCATTCTAATAATGCAAGTGATTGATTTTTAAACTTTCATATATGTTATAAAAAATTAAGTTGCATACTTAATATGAAATTATTTGACTGTTCTCAGATAATGACTAGGCATTTAGTACTTTCCATTCTCCTTTTAAAGATGTTTTATCACCTGAGAGAATGAACAATTTAAATAGGAATAACTTGCTTACCATTTTGTAGCTCTTGGGAACTAGCTTTATGTTACTGAGTATCTCTAACTCTATGGTAGTGCTCTGTTGTAGATTGAATAAATAAAACCAGTACATATATATATATATATACTTATAACAGTATTTCTCAATAAAATAGAGAGCTTTTATGTGAGTACAATCAATAAAAAATCATTGATTAAAGATCCACTGTGATGCCAAGATGGCAGTAGGTACTGGTTCAGAATATTGGCTGTAAATACACAAACATTTACTCTAGGCTTTTTATCGCTCTTGTGTTCTCTGACATTTGTAAAACCACAATGTATAGAGTTATTTGGTAAATGTTAAGTTCTCTTTGATTCTCAGGAAAGCCTGACATACGTTTTCTATGTCTAGGGATTTACTGATGGAGACCTATTAAAAATTCAGTTTGGAGGCGCAAATGTCTCTGGATTTCAAATAGTGGACTATGATGATTCCCTGGTATCCAAATTTATAGAAAGATGGTCAACACTGGAAGAAAAAGAATACCCTGGAGCACACACAACTACAATTAAGGTATATCTCTATCTACTAATATGTACATTTACATCTGTGTCTATATATCTGTATCTTTATCTATCCATATCTAACTGCTGACAAGTAGCCTGTTCTCTGGGACACTCTAGGAAGAAGATAAAAATCTTAATTTGTTTTAGTAACTAAAAACAATAAATGCTTTATGCAATCAAACAAGGAATCTTTGAATTCTAAATGCAGTGCACTATTCTGATATGAGCAATGCCCGGACTCATCTTTTATTCTCCATGGGTTTGGACTTCCCTTGTTTATTCAACATATTTTATTATTCATACACCTACATGCATATATTTACCACTAAATATTAAATGTTTCTGCTGTTGATAAGAAGGGCTTTTTCCCTTCTGTTGGTCACCTTATTGACAGCAGAGATAAGAGTGGATCATAGAGTGAGTGGAATGAGAGGATCACATTCTTTATTAAACTAGACTTACAAAAAGTAAGAGCAAAAATTGCAAAGCATTTCAAATGCAGAGTGATTTCGTTTGTTTATTTGTGTATTATCAAGCAGATTGTGTATGAACCTGTCAGGGATAGTGTTATTTCAGTTGCTCTCCCTGTTTATACATCAGGCAGAGGTTTTGTCATTGTTGTTTTCTGCACCTAATGGAAAAAAAAAAAAAGATATGGTTGTTTGGCTTTAAATTTGTGTCTGACTGTGAGACTGGCCCTAGGTAAGGATTAAAAGCATTGAATTCTCTACTTTTGGGTATGTAAATGGATCCTGTTAATTTTAAGTTAAATTCGTGAAAGCATCTCATAGAATGTTAAAGAATAGCCCAGAGTTCATTTTTTCTCAAAACTAGGTGACTTCTTGTTTGGTGACCTTGACTGATACTCAACATGTACATGGTTTATAACAGTACTGTGGGCTTGTAGGGGTACCTTCAGGTAGCAAAGCTGATGAGAAGACAAATGGACATCTAGTCTTTTCATTGGTGTCAGGGTGTGTCTCCACCTGCTGCTCTCATTCTGTGGAATTTCAGGGTTCCATCCAATCCAAGGTGGTGCCTTTTAAGCTTTCTGATGAAGATTGCATGTGGCATTCATCACCAAATAGAACTAACATGTTCCTTTTGAATACTCGATTAGTCATCATGTTCCTACCATTGCTGTCTACTGTGAGAAGAATGAGAGCAAAATGAGATGACTATTTTCTCATGGAAATCATATCATTATTGAAGTGCATGGTCATGTAACAAAATGCAAGGCAAATTTGGGGTATGAGAGATCTAGCAATGCATTCTGTTAACATTTTCACCAAAACCTAGCTCTAGATTTCACTCTGTTGGGAGCTTGCTCCCTTCCTGCTGTAGTACTTAAAAAACAAAAACAAAAACAAAAACAAAAAAAAGAATCTCATTTTGATAATCCCCAGTCGAATGGAGAAGACTAACATGTCAATTAGCAAACGTAACAGAGAATGATGCATGTAAGATATGCCAGCTCCCCAGCATATGATTAGGACAGTATGGAGGAAGGGATGTTAAGGAGGACTCTCCAGAGGTGGGGCATCTAGGCAGGGCTTTGCACGTGGTTGAGCAGGAGAAAAAGTATGGGAGGGTGCTGGGAAAAGAGCCTGTACACAGACTCAAAGTGATACAAGAGCATGACAGAGTCAGGGAACTGTAGTTTTCCTTCTGTTTTTGTTGTTGTTGTTGTTGTTGTTGTTGTTTGTTTGTTTTGTTTTGTTTTGTTTTGATTTCTCCGCTGTAAAAATTTAAAATATTTGGGTTGGATGGGAGATGAACATTTTATGGGAGTTACCAAGAGATAAGGCTCTTCAAATGTCAACAGATATAAAAGATAGGAATTACAGGACAGGGCTTTCACGATTTTTGTTTGTTCCATGGGCAGAAGAAAGGAAGAAAAACTAGTTGGGGGACGATATAGTATTTTCTAATATAAACAAGTAGCATATCTTTGATATATGATCCGTTTAAGGAAGGAAAGCAAGAATATTTCCTAATGAGATTATTTCTTTCTCTGTTGTCTTTGGGTCATTGACTGTACCAGGTACATTGCCTGATAATTTAAATCACGTTTTATTATCACCACAATAAAAACTTACAGGCATAAAAATCTGTAAAAACGCAATTCATTACATGAAATTCTCTGCATGGTTAGGCTTTGGAAATAATATAAATTATTTCAAGTTGTAGGAATATTAAATAAATGATTGTTTTAAAGTTTTGTCTCCTCCAAAAGTTAACAAAGCTTCCATAGTTTCTTAATTAAAATCATTCTTATTCAATAAATACAAGTAAAATATAAATGTTTCAATGTTTCACATATTTTAATAACCACAAAATATAAATTACAAATGTTAAATTTATTCATTCTTATACTCTGTACAAAAAATAACTCTAGAGTCATGGTACTGAGATTTTAAATCTGACTCACCAATTTGCTAATTTCAGGCAACATTCATTCTTTATTCATTTATCAATCCATTTATCCATTCAATACATATTTATTGAGTTTTTACTCTGCAAGCTGGCACTGTTCTAAATGTCAGAGAAATGACAAAGTTCTAGTCTGAGAGCATTAAGGAACTACCAGAAGAAAGTGATTATCATGGTTTTGATACAGGAAGATTACTGGCTACCCCCTCTTTTGCAACATTGTCTGCTGACAATAGATTGTAGGGTGTACATCTGATGGCAGGTGAGCTTTTAGGAAGATCACAAACAATCCAGGCAGCCGATGCAACTGATCAAGGTTGTTTGAACTGTGGTGATGGCACCAGGGTGGAGGGAAATCAATGGATTTGCTATAATTGCCAATTATTTCAGATTTCTTTATTTGTAAACAAAAAAATTATTGCAGAAATCATAGCCATTCATTATATAGTAATATAAATTCAGTTGAAAGGTATCTGTGGGTTAAAAACAAGATTCAGAAAGGCAGTCTGCCTCCTGACCCCAATCTACTACAGTGCTTTACACACAGTACACACACAGTAGATATTGGTTGAAATGAAAAATATAAAGAAACCCTTTGAAAATAACAAATCACTGAGAAAGAAAAAGAAGCAATTATCATTGCTATGAAATTTGGTTAAAATTTCTGTGCTAACATTTGTTATGTCCTCTTATTCAGTCCTAGCAGAAAAGTAGTGTTATTTTACCTGATGAACTGTAGGATGACTTTAGTCATCAGACCTGAACCATCATGGCACCTAGATTTAAATGGGGCAGTTAAAGTGACCATTTTACCTTCCTTAAAAAATGTTTCAAAAGTGGCAGATAATAAAGATGATTTGCCACTCTCTCAAAAATAATTTACAAATATTTCTTTTTTTTTCTTTTTTTTATTCTGTTAATCCCCATACATTACATCATTAGTTTTTGATGTAGTGTTCCATGATTCATTGTTTGCATGTAACACCCAGTGCTCCATGCAGTACATGCCCTCTTTAATACTCATCACCAGGCTAATTCTAACTAGCAATGAATGAGAGTTCCTGTTGCTCCATTGATGTTGAGTTTCTGTGAAGATATTGTGACTTTATGCAGTGAAGTTTCAAAGGGCATATATTCAACAAGCTTAAACAGCTTTATCACAGACACCTCTTTTGCAGAGGGTAGACTGCAATTAAATTTGAAATTAAGACAAGTGAATAAACAAGTTTATAATGTATTTCCAATACTGTTTTTTTTTTTTAATGGCTCTAGTTGATTCTTGGTCATTGCCCAAAATCTAGAAAGAGAGGAAGAAAGAAAGAAAGAAAGAAAGAAAGAAAGAAAGAAAGAAAGAAAGAAAGAAAGAAAGAAAGAAGAAAGAAAAGAAAAGAAAGAAAGAAAGAAGGAAGGAAGGAAAGAAAGAGACTTTCTAAAAGTTTTTCTTATAGGTTTACTTATTTTTCCTAGAGCTCGTCTTTTTTGATCATTTTGATAATATGATAAAATGTAGAAATTGAGAATTATATTGTAAGATTCTCTAGGGAAATATCATCAGCGTACAATAATTTCAATCAAATAAGTGATGCCATTTAAAAAATGAGTATATAAAATTTGTCAGGCCATAAAACCTTTAACAACCCAAAGTATGTTACACAGAACATTATTTTTATGAAAAGTAATTGGCATTAAGAAATTTTTAAAATGGTAATTTGTTTGGACAATGAATGTTCTTCAGACAAAGCTAAACTGAAATTGTTACTCAAGATTTCTTAGGGCCTTTAATAAGCCAATGTGAGAATCAGTTTCTGAATTTATTCATTCACGGACTCTTTTGTAGATTAGGATAGTGGTTTTCAAAACAGCAAAAAAAAAAAAAAAGCTAGTTTTATACCAGGATAGACAGTAATAAAAGGAAAAAAGAAAGCAAAAATGCTGGTCAATAACTTGTATTTTGGGGCATACTTTATAAGTCACCTGGCTTCTCATTTCCTGTAACTGTGCTCATTTGATGTGGTGTTTGCCAAACAAGGGGACCCATTGTCCCAGTGTGCGTGGTATTGAGGAGTTGCCTGGGACTGGAGACTTGCTGCCTAAAACAGGGATAGTACCTGGCAAACCAAGACGGTTGGTCACCGTCATTGCTCCAGAATCACAGAGATCTGGATTCAAACTCCACCTTAATTTTTTTTGTGACCCTGGGCAAAATATAACCTGTTAACTTGGAATCTTCATCTATAAAACTGGAGTAAAAATATTTGTTGCATAGAATTTTTAAAAAGGACTTACGAGGAAACCACCCAGCTCAGGTTTGACTTGGTCAACATGAGTTCTTTTTTCCTCACCAGCTTTTCCAGTAATACTATGACATAGAAGAGGCTTTGCTTTACTTATTTCATTGGTAAGAAACCTTGGGCACTTTAACTTACCCAAGGCAGCTGAGCAGTAAATGATAAAATCAGGGCTTGGGCCCTGTCTTCTGATGATACATTCAATGCTTTCTAAACTGTATACAATTCAATTTCAAGTGTCAAGGAAAATTTGGAAAGTGGCCTTTCATAGTAAGTTTTTAGCACTTTCATAAACTGTAAAGTCTAGTACTTTTTTTTTGAATATTTTTCAGCACAGTGCAGATGATATATGTTTAGGAATAGGTGCTATCATAATAATGACCCATAAAATGTAGCGTATTTATCCTTTTTGTATGTTGCTTAAATTCTAAGTGTACATAGAACTTCTTTTCATTCCCTCTTTTTGTTGGCTGGAGGAATATTGTTTTCTGGTTCCAGTGATTACAGTAATGTATTACTGAATAATGTCTGATGACTATTGGGCAGACCAAACATGTTTAAAATGCATATTTCATTTTGTATTTGAAAAATAAGTCTCAATAAATACACATTTAAGATGGAATAAAAAGTGCATTTAGGAAATGGAATAAAAAGTGCATTTGGAAAATGGACCATAAAAACATTTTCCCAGATTTTTTCTTAAAGTGTGGATATGATGCGATCGTGATACAGCACTGCAAAACATAATGGCCCCCCACTGAATTATAAATTTCCCTCAGCTGAGGGATTTCACAGAACATAAATATCAGGGCAGAGATGATGCATTTGTTTTCAAAGAAGGAGATAGTTACATAGTTACATCACCATCATGTTCCCTTCAAATTAATTTACATCTAGTTTAGTGAATGGTAGAATAAAACTGAAATACCTAACTCTCCAATGAAAAATATGAATATATTTGTTTAGAAAAATAAATGAGCCACATATGTAGAACATAAACAAAGAGGAACTCTGGATACAGTGTCTGTTTATTTTCTCTCAGTCCAGAATTGTGTTTCTATGATTGTGACTTTTAATTTAAAACAATAATAGGCTGGAGACTTGATTAAATTTGAACATTTGAAAAAGGTTGAAAGGATTTTTCTTCTTAGTGGGCTCATGCTCCGAATCATAATTGTAACATGCTGCATGGGCCTCAATGCTTTTAGTTCATTCAACCTAATCTTATTTTTTAATGTAGTTTGCCAACATTTATAGACCTCTAAAACATTTAGCAGATGGCTTTATAGATTTCTCATAGTAATATGAGCAGGCTGACTCAATGAAGATTTTGGCTTTGAACTGTTATCGTAGCTTTTTAATGTGCTTTGCAATATTTTTTTTAATATCTAATTTATTTAATTTAGGCTCTGTTTCCTATTCAGTGATCTAGACTTTATTTTAAAAATTACATGGGCAATGAACTAATTACTGTATAAGAAAGCAAATTAATCAACTTTTGTTTTTATCTAGGAGAACAGAAACAAACATCTATATAAAGCAGATAAATCCTGATGTCTTATCTTATTTCTCCATATTTTTTCTTAAGTAAATAGGATTTAAAACAATGCCTTTGATATAATACAGTTTTTCTTAAAAAACAGTACATGCATATTCTAGAATACTTGGAAGATAAATATAATCATGTATGCTTCCTCCCTATTATTATAACCATTTTGTTTATTTTTCTTTCCCTTATTTGTTGAAGGGATATTACTATTTTTTTTTACCACTCTCATTAATCAATGAAGAAGGTATTTTTTAAATTTAGTTGTAATAATGTTTTTCACTAATTTTATAATTGACATTATTCATATTGTTATATAACCTTTATTAGTATTACTTTCTAATGGCTGCATTATACTTTCTTAAGGCAGAAAGTATAGGTTTTAAACATTCCTTTACTGACAGAAATGTGGGTTGTTTCTAAATATGGATGGATCTGTCACATACTATATTTTGCTAATTTCTCGCATATAGTATGGAGAAAAAGGTTACAGATTTTTTGGAAAAAAATGGTGATGGTTTTATTTAAATCTGTCTAGCTGAGATACTTGTGAGAAACTCAAGTGCATCCATCCGGGAGATAATCTAAATATGTAGAGGACTCATATATAGGCCTGCAATGACATTGCATAAGTGGTTTCACAAGAGAAGAAATAAGGAAGAAAACCTCTAGGTTTACAGCACTCGGTCACAGTGCTCACGTCCTCAAAATCATGTTCTCTTTTTCTTCTTGCCAATTCCCCCATCAAATGTGACTCATTCATATGGTCAAATGAAAGCGATTCAACTAAACTAATATGTGCAAAGATTAAATGACTGATAACCTCACACTGCCATTTTAGTATTAGAAAAATGGAGGCTTAAGAAATTTCTGGATATGTGGAGGGGATGATTCAAACTACATAAACTATTTTTCATTTGCCTTATTGTAATATCTCATATTAAAAGGATAAATCAGACATCTATCTACCATCAGACCAATTTATAACACTATGATAGGCATAGTGCAACTATTCGTTTATAACCTTTTCACTAGACTGGAAGAAAACATGAATCCTGTAAAGACGGGGTCCATATCAAGATCTCTGACTTCCCTGCCTGCATTCTTTCCTTCCTTCCTCAGTGTTTTCAGTGTGTCCGGCCCTGCCCAGGGCTCTGAGAATTCAGTGGTGACAGATGAGTTTTCTACTTTTCTAGAGTAAATATTCCAGTGGGGAAAAGAGCTGAAATAGAGAAATAATGAATGCATGAACAAGATATTCAGATACTGGTAGAAACTATGAAGGAAATAAATAAGGTCATGTGAAGAGGAGTGATTAGGTCTGTGCTGGGCAGGAAGGGCATCATTGAGGAAGTAATGTTTGAGCACATACGTGTAATTTAAAGCCATGACCTGAGTGAGACCACTTAGAGAGAGAGCAAGGAGAGTTGATATGGAATGGCAAGTTTAGAAAATTACTCTTAAATTTTCTAATGAAGGAAACAGAAAAAGAAAGGTGGGTATTAGAAGGAGATATAAACCTAAAAAGCAGTTATTGTATCTATCTATCTATCATCTATCTATCTATCTATCTATCTATCTATCTATCATGTATCATCATCGTCTATCATCTATCATCATGATCTATCTATCATCTATCATCTATCTATTTATCTATCATCTATCATCTATCTATGTATCATCTATCTATTATCTATCATCATCTATCTCTTATTGTGGTAGGAGATATCAGAGCATTTGAAGTGCTAATAGAGATGATCCAGTAGAGAGAGAAAAAAGGATGATGCAGGATATTGAGGTTGTAATTGTAGATGAAATGTCCTTAGAAAGATCCAAGGGACTGTATCAGGGCACTGTTGGAGTGGCTGTCCTCATGTAGGAGCTTGGCCACCTCATGTGTCATCAACTCAGGAGGGAAACAGAGAAAATATGATCTTGGCAGTTTTATGTTTGAAAAATAAAGGGTTTCTCTCTGAGGGCTTCTATTTTTTCAGTGATGTGTAGGCAAGATAATCAGCAGGAATTCAGAGAAAGAGAAGTGTGCAGAGTTGTGGGTTTTAAGAGAAGAAAAGAGAAGGTATAAAAATAATCATTTTTGAGAGTGGAAGAAATAAGTTGCTATAGAAAGGAGGAGGAGGACTTGCAAATACTAAGTGCCCGTTTTGTATTTGTGGTCAAGAATTTTAGGGTGTGCCAAAATCAGTATGATATTGTATTTTTACCCAGCTTCACTGTACTTTTGTTACTCACAGAAATTTCCTCAGTATTCAGTAAAGCTTTTATGTAAAACTGTGATTTATCATTAACAATAGCAGCATGATACATTTGATAGATGGCAGTGTATATACATGCATGTAATAATACCTATCCAGCCACTGACAATGCTTAGTGCCCGTAAATAATGCTCTTTTTTTTCTGCTTGGCCCCCAGCTCCTGTCACAATCCTGCTGTCCCACTGGGATCTGAATACCATAAGTTTGGAACCAATGTTATTTTTATCATAGACTGTTGGAAGCATGAAGGGGGCATAGAAATTATGAAATTTGATGGTTCTTCTTCTTGATTACCATAACTACCTAGGGGATCTTAAAAACAAATATTTCAAGACTATAGAATTAGAAACTTAAACTAATCAATATTCTTTCCCTATTGCCAAATGAATCCAGCATTAGTGGAGGCATATGTGTTTGTAAATTTGATAATTTCCTATATCCCTAAATCAGGCCATGAAGTGATGCTTTAATAAGAAATTGGTGGGCGCCTGGGTGGCTCAGTTGGTTAAGTGACTGCCTTCAGCTCAGGTCATGATCCTGGAGTCCCTGGATCGAGTCCCGCATCGGGCTCCCTACTCAGCAGGGAGTCTGCTTCTCCCTCTGACCCTCCCCCCTCTCATGCTCTCTCTCTCATTCTCTCTCTCAAATAAATAAATAAAATCTTTAAAAAAAAAAGAAATTGGTTTAAAAAGAAAAGACCCGATTATTATAAAATGTCTTACCCCAAATAACTGAGATGCTCACATAATAGGAAATGCTTACAGTCAAGAGCACACTGCACAGTCCCAATATTCCGCGCTACCCCCTCAGATTCTTAGACTTCTACATGCAGAAATTGTGTCTAAATTCTTGGACTGTGATGTGGTGTTGTACGGTGGCCAGCTGCAACCCAGATGGCCAGTGTGTGGTGAGCCTCTGAATTTTTTCCCATTTTTATGAAATGTGTATGATGTTTTTCAGTATACTTCTGCTCTGACGTATGACGCTGTTCAAGTGATGACTGAAGCTTTCCGCAACCTACGGAAGCAGAGAATTGAAATCTCTCGAAGAGGCAATGCAGGAGATTGTCTGGCAAACCCAGCAGTCCCCTGGGGACAAGGTGTAGAAATAGAAAGGGCCCTCAAACAGGTTAGTCACTCAAAATGATTGTGAATGTGACTTAACAATGGACACTATTTTTTTCCACTATGTTTGTCTCCTTGCTGTGTTTAATGTAAAGTGAATATTATTTCCTAACTGCACAAAGGTAGGTTGAAGGGTGAAAAGAAATCTTAAAAATGTAGTTTCCTTGGGCGCCTGGGTGGCTCAGTTGTTAAGCGTCTGCCTTCGGCTCAGGTCATCATCCCAGGGTCCTGGGATAGAGCCCCTCATCAGGCTCCCTGCATCCGGCTCCCTGCTCGACGGGAAGCCTGCTTCTCCCTCTCCCCCTCCCCCGCTTGTGTTTCCTCTCTAGCCTTGCCTCTCTCTATCAAATAAATAAATAAAAAATCTTTAAAAAAATGTAGTTTCCTTAACTTGAGCCAGGTGAGAGTAATCCATACAGTTTGTATCTTTGGTTGCAGTAAATTGATAACTGTGCGGCTTTCCCATTTCCTCATTAGGTTCAGGTTGAAGGTCTCTCAGGAAATATAAAGTTTGACCAGAATGGAAAAAGAATAAACTATACAATTAACATCATGGAACTCAAAACGAATGGGCCCCGGAAGGTAAATCATTAGTAATCTAAAGGCAGTTTTCTCTCTGCGAGGAGGTGAGTTTGCTAACCCATCACCTCTTCTTCCAGAGTCCTGGAAATGTATAGTCACATAGGTAGAGTTTATCTACTTCCAGAAACAGATGTATTTTTAAGTATTTTTTCTAAACCTAATCTATTCATTTCTGGTAAGTAATACTGAAATGTAATCTTCAAATGACTGTGAATAGAACTGTTTTTGTTTTTCTTTGTTTTTTGATTGAGGTATAAGAACTTTAATGAGAAGAAAAAGAAACTATCACGGACAGTTTATGGTTCAGAAGACAAAGCATAGCTGGTGCACATATACATTGTTTTAATTCAGTACCTTGCTTTTAACTGTTATGGATAAAATTCCATTGCTTGGATTTATTTCTATTTCTATATGATCACTCCCAAACAAATTACCCTGGAAAAATATGAAGAGTGAACATGAAGAGATAAGCCATTTTTAAGAATTGCTTTTGTTTCATTGTTTTTATAATCTCTATTTCTATTAGAGTTGCAAAAACAAAAGACATATCTTTGTTTAGAAGAAACCTAGTTAATGTAGATAAAATTTTTGATTCATACATGAGTTTGAAATAATTCAATGCTTGGCTAATAGAAAGATCATTTATCCATGTGCCTATTTCTGTAACCTTTTTCAGATTGGATACTGGAGTGAAGTGGACAAAATGGTTGTTACCCTTACTGAGCTCCCTTCTGGAAACGATACCTCTGGGCTCGAGAATAAGACTGTTGTTGTCACTACAATTTTGGTAATTAGCTACAAATGTCTGTGCTTTCCTGAAGTTTTTCTTATGAAAAATATCTGTCAACTAGAATTGCTGTTTGTATTTTTGGATAATAAGTAATATAGTGTTGCTTTGGCACTGTTTTAATCATGTATAGCATATTTACTCTGTCAAAAGGACCACACAAGCATGAGCTAAAGCATTCAAAATATTTCCTATCCTCTTCAATACTGAGATTTAGTTTGACAGAAAATTCATATGCTGGTGCGTCCACAAATGTGAACAACTGGGGAAGGTCTGGAAGAGCATTCCTTGTATTTACTCATGTGCTTTACCTTTCACTTCCCATATGATTCTGGGTACCATCTGTCTTTGCATTTATTAATAATGTTGGCAACGTCTCTTTATAAGATGAACTCCTTAAAGATAAGGAAAATTTCACTTCTTTTTAGCCCCCAATCTCAACACAGTCATTGGCACATAGCCAGCACTGAATGAATGAGACAAAATTGAACTGAAGCTTGATCATCTAGGCTCTGGAGAAATGGAAGGTAGATGTAGATCATCGTGACAAGCTGTTGGTGAAATGAGATGGAGAAAATAGGGTTCACTAATAGTGATTTTGCAACAAAAAATTTGTATTTTATTTTACTAAGCACTGATAGAGTAAAATTGTGGGATTCATTATTCTAATGATATTGAGAAGAAAAAAAATAGATAGGTTAATAAGGGATTTGGGTAAAAACATTGGTCGGCTTTTGGAAATATCTTAATAAGTGTAAGCTCCGACACGTGAGGGCTTTTGCCTTAATCATGCCATTGAGAGGGATTGTCTCACCAAACTCTCAAATATGCTTGATGACACTTTCCAGGAGAGAATTTTGGGCTATGTTGAAACAGGTGGAAGCTACTCTCCCTCCTTGTAATATTATTCTGGGATATTATATCTCACAGATGAAGCGAGACATGAAATCTGAGAGGGTAGCATCAACACATCACCATGGCAATGACTCTTTAGTCTGTCCATTACTGACTATGAACCTGATTTCCACATGAACCTTATCCTTGAAGGAGCAATACACAGGGTTTTGGGTGAATGCTGATTCTTGAGTTTGGCATAACCTTAACCTAGAAGAGGAGTGTGGTGGGTCCGGAGTTGAATAAAACAGATGTTGAGCAGCATTATTTCTACCTAAGCTCTAGGAGTTAACAAACATGACAAGGGGACATGCCAACAGTTTGTGCTTTTGAGTTTCTTATTTGCTTTGGTATGGCTAGATACAAGCTATATTAATGAAATATAATGCTAGACATCTGAAGACCTTTTTTTTTTTTTTCAAAAGTATTATGCCTAATTTTTTTTTCCTGTTGATATTTTCTACCATTCATATTCTACAATTTCTCTGGCTAACAGGTAATAATTAAACCAGAAGACTTCATTCAGTGAGAGTAGTTAACAGCTATTTTTTAAATCAATGAAAGCACTGTCTTTCCATATAGGAATCTCCGTATGTTATGATGAAGAAAAATCACGAAATGCTTGAAGGCAATGAGCGTTATGAGGGCTACTGTGTTGACTTGGCTGCAGAAATCGCCAAACATTGTGGGTTCAAGTACAAGTTGACAATTGTTGGGGATGGCAAGTATGGGGCCAGGGATGCTGACACGAAAATTTGGAATGGGATGGTTGGAGAACTTGTATACGGGGTAAGTATAGCTCTTCTCCCAAATAAAGTCATTCAGCTTGAACTCTTGTTGACAGAATGCCCCCTTCCCTGCCAAGTACCTCTATCTGAGGTTGTTGGTTTCCCACATTACTGAAGAACACTATCTTATTTCCTTGTGAACATCTGAAAATTGAGGATAAAGTCAGAAGCAAACATGCACACTAAATGAGACAGACATTCTATCTGTCTTGAAGCATACGAACCATATGCATTGTTCAAAGGCACCAAAGGCATAGATTCAGTGTAGAGAGGTAATTATCATAATCAAGTCAGATGGGTATACTGTGTATTTATAAAAAGGAGGGATATTTGGGGAACAAATTGTTTTTTTGTTTATTCTCTACTGGAACCCCGCAAGGGAAATAATTACTGACATTTCCCTGATTTCCTTTTCTTCCCTTTTGATCCAGTAATGTAACCATGATTCCTTTCTGACCATGACTCCAGGTACTATTACTTTCATTTGTTTCCCTTACAGAAAGCTGACATTGCAATTGCTCCATTAACTATTACCCTTGTGAGAGAAGAGGTGATTGACTTCTCAAAGCCCTTTATGAGCCTCGGGATATCTATCATGATCAAGAAGCCTCAGAAGTCCAAACCAGGAGTGTTTTCATTTCTTGATCCTTTAGCCTATGAGATCTGGATGTGCATTGTTTTTGCCTACATTGGGGTCAGTGTAGTTTTATTCCTGGTCAGCAGATTTAGCCCCTACGAGTGGCACACTGAGGAGTTTGAAGATGGAAGAGAAACACAAAGTAGTGAATCAACTAATGAATTTGGGATTTTTAATAGTCTCTGGTTTTCCTTGGGTGCCTTTATGCAGCAAGGATGCGATATTTCGCCAAGGTTGGTTACTCACCTGCTTCAACTTTGTGCATTTTAGGTCTCAAGTGGATATTCGTGGTGTTTATGAATTCACTATAAAGAAGTAAACAGCTGCCGACTACCTGTCTAAGCAGTCTAAGACTCTTCAGGACAGACTCTTACCATCGGCATAAGTCTGTGAAATACTTGAGCAATGTTCTTTGAATGTTGGTCATGTATTTCCTGGTGAAATTATACACACCATGGAGAGGCTATAAAATGCATAAGGTTCCTATCATTCCATGCCTTCTTGGAGGGGTACCGTGTTTTTGCTGCATATTCTCATTTTACAGTCATCTGTGTGTTGATCCACAGACCTGTATATGGGAAAGTGGGCAACATTACTTATTAACTACAAAAGCAACAACTTGTTTACAAAACTTCATTGGCACACATCCCATCTCTTTTATTTTCCCATTATTAGCTCATGCAGATGGTATAAGAGAGATATAAAATTCTTTTAAAGGTTAAGTTCCTGAATTAAAGGGAATGTACGATAAGATATTTTCCAAGTATTTAGAAATACATGAGTAATAATGATGACTGACTCACTGCAGCTTGTGCTATATTCAGTAGTAATACACACACATAATGGAATACATTTCTGCACCTCTAGTCTCATTATGATATATTAGGTACTGCACTAGAATGCCTAAATATAATGAATATCTCACAAAATACATTTTGCCTTTGTTCATGTTACACACATGAATAGAAAGGTTAGCCATATCTGGCTCTTTGGAAGAATAAACCATGCTTTTTCTAGTGTGACTCTTTCACATTTGAAGCCTAAATTATGGTCTACTGGCACATTTTAGTCTAGGTTTGATTACTTTCCTTTGATCTATGGGATATCTTAATAACTAGTAAAGGGGATGATTTTTCTAACACTATTTCATTATATTGTGTTTCTGAGCACTTTGGAGATAACTGATTAATTTCAAAAAACTATATGAGAAAATCAAAAGTTTGTATCTTTTGGAGTCTTTTTTTGATTACTCCACCCAGGGAGATAAATTAAATATATCATGTATGCAGAAATTATTAATGACTTACTTACTTCTCTGTTAGTAGGACACATTGTTATGAATTATTTGGACCTAAACAGTCTTAATTCCCTAAAATTCCCTGTGACTTCTTTATGGAGCTGCACTGAATTAGAAATATGCCAATGGTATTTGCATGGCATATATGTATAGTAATTTTAATATATAGCATAGAAAAATATAGAAATATAGAATAATGCTACATATAATAATATACATAAATATGATGACTTCCCACAAAATATATGATTCATAGTTTTATCTCTATATTTAGTTTATCCGATTTAAGTTAAAGACATAAAGAGAAGTTTCTAATAATGAGGGAGAAAATACTAAACAAATGGGGATCTCAGAGAATATTCTGGTCCATAAATAACAATAAAATTATTCATCTTTGGTAAGAAGGCTACTGAAGTATAATGCTACTTTAATCCTGAGATAAAACGCAATTATCCTAGGGTAACATAAACTGTGTTCTGCCTTTTGATTAAGTAAAGAGGAGCATATGAGGTTCATTATAAAGTAGGATATATTGATCTGGGTTCCTGTAGATGGATCCTTAGATTTGTTTGCCTTACTCTTCATGCATCATGGCTCTGAAGTTAGTGGTTTTGGTGTCCAGTGCTTGTCAAGGAACAGAAAACATATTTATAGGGGCTGGAGCACAGAGCACATTTAACAGTATCTGTGTTACTCCAGGGTCCACCAAGACAAGCAGACAACTTCTAATTTTCAACAAGCCCGTTTAATAAAATATGGCCTTTTTTTCTGTGCTCTCGATTTCATTCATGAGTCATGACTTACTACAATTGCACATATAATCATTTTTATTTCCTGGTAAGATAGATTTTTTTTAAAATTTTATTTTATTATGTTATGTTGGCCACCATACAATAGATTTAAGATAGTATATTTTTCCTTGTTATCAACTGATTTAGTTTTTGCTACAGAATATATATGAGCAAAATTTGCTTTGCTAAAAAAATTTAAGTGTACATATCTTTCATTCTATATGTGCACCTAAATATTGAACATAATGAATAATATTGGCAAATTTAATGATTTTTTAAAACAAACCAAACTATCTTTTTTTACAATGCAATGATGGTTACTCCAGTTTAGAAAAGAATAGAGGGGCGCCTGGGTGGCTCAGTTGGTTAAGCGACTGCCTTCGGCTCAGGTCATGATCCTGGAGTCCTGGGATCGAGTCCTGCATCGGGCTCCCTGCTCGGCAGGGAGTCTGCTTCTCCCTCTGGCCCTCCCCCCTCTCATGTGCTCTCTCTCATTCTCTCTCTCTCAAATAAATAAATAAAATCTTAAAAAAAAAAGAAAAGAATAGAGAAGCATAGTATCTAATAATAATGATGCTGATGATGATGCAAAAATGCACAGATCACTTTGAGATACTCTTTAAATTTTTTGAAAGATATTTATCACCTATTTTCAAGTAAAACATGGTATGGAACTATATTATTAATATTAATAGAACATTTAAATTTTAATCAGGATTGATTTATTGAACTGAATTGGTCATTTTCCTGAAATTAAGTTTAGAATATGTTACCTATAGTTTTCTGAAGCCTGGAACCACAGAAATTGTGAGAGCAAAATGCTGTCCTGCTTGCCTCTCTTTTTTCCCAATATCTCAAAAGGATTCCAATAAATAAAAATGCCATTCTTAAAACAATTATTTAATATAGACTTAAAAGAAATGGTAAAATAAAAAAAATAAATGGTAGCATATCTGTGTTTATTTGATCCTTTAGTGCAGATTCAGAGAGATGAAGGTTTGTTTTTAAGTAGAGAAACCATTTTTGTCTGTCTCCCTAAGACATAAATTGAATTTGCCCCTGCATAAAGTTTCTCAGGAACTCTTTCAGAAACATTAATTGATCCTTTGAAAACACTTACAAATGGATGATAAGTTGCTCAAGAATTTTCTGTTTTGAATGATGTATAAGTTCAATAATTTTTTTGAGGTATCTTGTGAAACTTTAAGTAAATTGGCATATTTAAGCTCATTAAATCTGTCTTAAGCACTGGAATAGAGCATAACTTATGTCTAACTTGTGTTTATTTTACAAATGGAACAGAATTAGTTATAAAAACAATTCTGAAATACATTGCCAATTACCATGCAGTTTATAGTGTCAAAGCAATTATTAAGAAATCAGTTTTGTTTTAAGGAATTTGAGCTGCCCTCTTAAATATGAGGTACATGCCCTTTAATTATAACTTCTATTGTTATGGAATAGTGAACATTTTGAGAGTGGCTGTGTCTACACAAGAGGTTTCTTAAATTCAAAATGTATTTAATACCCTTCGCATGAGAGAGAAGTTAACTTTTTTCCATCCTGTCATATTTATTTAATTCTTTGCAATCTCTCAGAGACTGTGATAAAGGCTCTTAGTTATATATTTTTTTCATTGCTTGCTCACTCTTGCTCTTTCTCTTTTAGCAATAGATGTTTGTAAAAATCTTTACTTTTAAATAAGCTTCCCCACTTATTTTTGACTGCTAGAATAATTTATTCTACAAAGGTGTGTTTCTTACTGTTAAATGTCAGGAGGTCTGTTTTAAGCCATAAATTACCAAACATTTGTAATTTAATATTTTAGAAATGTTACCTCTTCACTGTAGCAAGTTTAATTGTTAGACATAGCAATTATGAACCCAAAATGTTATTTTATTGGATTGTTAATATTATTTAAATCCCTTTATACATAGAATCTCGCCAGATCTTTCAAAATAATATGCTATGTATCTATTTCCATATCTACGTATCTATATTTGTCTCTCTAGTAAAGTAAAGTAAATTATTAGGGATCTATTAAGCTTTTAAAAGTATTTTGCATATGAATTTATGGTCAAAGAAATATTATTATTTTATTATATTGCAAATTAGGAATCTGTATCTTGGCAAACGTTTAAATGTCTAATTTTGTTTTCCCTGAGTTGTCTTTTTTCTTAAGCAGGAAGCACAGAGGAACAGGGTGAAACAGTCCATGCCAGGAAGCCTCAGATTTTTATTCATTAAGAATTATATTTTGTGTCATCCCTTTGTTTGTTGTATCATTTTTCCCCCATTTTCTATCCTGCTCTGCACCTAAAACCTATGTTTTTTGCACACACAAAAACCCAGTGAAATTTTGGACCTTTTTGAGAGTTTTGGAACTTCATTGGCTGAATTAAAGAGAGGGTTTCTTCAGTTTAGAACTTCATTTATGGTGCACATTCTTTTATTTTTAATATTTGATTTTGTTTGTCAACATTATTGTGAGTTTTACAAGTGATGTTGAATTCTCTTGTTCATGTTTACTCATGTCATGAGTGGATAGTAGGATGGGATTGGCTGGATTATTTGCACATTTCTTGAAATTGCTTCATTATGAGATTTCATACCATAGATGATTTAAGCATTATAATTATGAAAGAATGAGGAATCTGAAGTTTGGTCTCTGGGTAGCTCATTAAATCTAGCTAATCTGTACTCCTTACCCAGAATGCTTAATAATTTCCAGTTTTATTAACTAGCAGATATATTAAAAAGTATAAAGTTAAATATTCACATATAAGTCAATATTTGCATAATATTGCTAACTTGTTTTTTTTTTTAATTAGGTCATTCATTTCACTTTACAAATCCATTTCATACTTGTTATTAGATCCCTCTCTGGGCGCATTGTTGGAGGTGTGTGGTGGTTCTTTACCCTGATCATAATCTCCTCCTACACGGCTAACTTAGCTGCCTTCCTGACTGTAGAGAGGATGGTGTCTCCCATCGAAAGTGCTGAGGATCTTTCTAAGCAAACAGAAATTGCTTATGGAACATTAGACTCTGGATCCACTAAAGAATTTTTCAGGGTAAGAGATTCCGCTTTGTTCACTTCTGATTTTGATCTTAAAATTTAACCATTTTAAATTTTGTCCTCCCTCCCTCCCTCCCTCCTGTGCTCTACATAAAGTTACTATGTGATAATACCCCCCAGCTCTGTCTCTAACTCTATTTCTGTTCTTGACCTTGTCTCTATACCCCTCCCTTCTTCATCCCTATCCTTAATTCCATCTCTGTATATTTTGTCATGCCTAATTCCCTAGGAGAAAAACACAACATTACAATAGAATTATAGTTTTATAAAGATTGATTGTCCTTTTGGAACAAAATTGAAGCAAAGTATAGTTAAGTTTAGATTGTTATTATTTTTGAAACAAAAGTTTTTTTTTTTTAATTTAAGTAAGCATGACTGTCATATATTTTACATAGTTTACTATTGAAAGCTTAAAAATAATTAAAAAAAAAGAAACTCACTTCCAAATCAGTTATGTTAATTCTGTGTCAGGAGACAGATTATATAAATGTGTGAAAATTCTGAATTTTTTTCAAACCCTCCAAGAAAAGGCTAACAAAGGTCTAAATAGGTAGCATAATTATAGTGTGTCTATTAAATATATTTTACTTTTCAAAAAAATTGTGACCATATGGTATTTGTTTATAGGACAAGCCCAATAACCTGATGTCGGTATAATTTTCTTTCATTATACTATTTTCTCTAAATAAGAACTCATTCTATTGAAATGTTTAATATAGCTGATAAACTTAGGTTTTAAGCCAATATATATAATATATGATGATCTCTGATAATCCCACTAAATCTTTGAATGTATCTGAATTTGCTTGAGTGAAATCTAGGCCAGATTAGGATTATCCAGAATTAGGATTAGGACCCGTTGAAATAGTAGAGTATAATTTGAAGACTGTTTCATCTACATTGCCTCTGGTATTTTTTTCTAACTAACTTCATTTGAGCTGAAATGTGACAGGAGAACAAGGGGGGTTGCAGACCACAGCTGATAATAGATAATAATCTGGATATGTGTAGGGAGGGCAGGACCTTGATGCTTTCTTTAAGCACTGCAGTTTAAGCGCAGAAGTGTGGTCAATCTATCAGCAGCTACTTTGACTTTAATGCATTTCTATGTATGAATGTTATAATACAGATTTGCTACTAATAACAATTTGCTTTCATTTATGAACATATATGTAATATGTATATAAACACTTTTTCTGTAGCACAGTGTTCTCGCTTGATCATAACAATGGATCTATTAAAATAAATTAGAATATTGCATGGTTCTTAATTAGAAGTGTATCTTGAAGCAGTTTTTATTATTTGTATCCCAGTAGGACTTGTATTTATTTTATTTATATATATTTATTCATATTCTTCCTCTTGAAGTGAATGAAATATGTGAATGAATAAGTACTTGCTATATCATGGCTTACTTAGTGCTACTTAATGTTGATTAAAATAATCTTAATTATTTCCGGATACTGCCTTACAGATTAGTATACGTATGTTGAGAGTTACTGTCCCTAGCTTGTTTGCACAATAGTAGTACCAAGTACTCTCAACAACTGTACATTCACATTTCCAGAGCTTTGCAGTATACCTTAACTCAATCAATCATAGAAACATATGTGTAATAATCAAGATGCCAAGATTTTGTGATCGGTATACTCAAGTTCCCTAGTAGACAAGATAAGAAGGCTAGATGACTCTGGGAAAAGAATGCTGTTACTCTTGTGTTTCAGTGCACTAACTCCATGAAGACCATGGTTCCAATATGCAGTATATTCGTGTATATGTATATACACTTGACAACATAATTTGTGGTGTGTCATTTGCCAATATAAGATTGTGGAGCTTACCCTTCCTAGAGTAATAGGGAAGTGATACTGAGTAATTAGGCAAACTGATAATTTTTATTAGCATAGCTTTCCCAAGCAGTTTCTTATGCATTATCTCTTTGCTTATTTATTTATTTAGTGTATAATTAACATACAGTGTTATATTAGTTTCAGGTGTACAATAAAATGATTCAACAAGTCTATACATTACTCAGCGCTCAGTACTCTTTGCTTATTTATTAAAGTATAAATAACATACAATGTTACATTAGTTTCAGGTTACAATAAAATGATTCAACAGTTCCATACCTTAATCAGTACATTAAGTGTACTCTTAATCCCCTTTATCTACTTTACCGATCTCTGCCCCACCCCCACAACCACCAGCTTGTTCTCTGTATTTAAGAGTCTGGGTTTTTTTGTTTGTTTGCTCGTTTGTTTTGTTTCTTAAATTCGAAATATGAGTGGATTCATATAGTATTTGTCTTTCTCTGTCTGACTTATTCCACTTAGCATTATTCCCTCTCAGTCCATCTATAGGGTTGCAAATGGCATATACCATGGCGTGTATATACCGCATCTTCTTTATCCCATTATCTTTTTGAATCTCACAATACTTATGCCTGATAATCAAGGCAATGATTTTTGTTTGCATACCATGCATTATTAAGCTAAAGCTCAGATAATTTTGTGAACTTGACCAAATTCAGGCAGCTAGGAAGTGTGCTGAGGCCTTTTACCCCTGTAGGGTTCTTTCGATACCCCATTTTTACTTGCAGATAAAAGTCTCTGGATTTATTTTGCTGTGCCCATGCTCAGTTTGAGTTACACCCATGTTTGCCTGTGTGGCATTAGAGAATTATAATGGTAGAAACTCATGCTTCCTTTCAGCATACCTTCAAAAGGAACTGTCGGTGAATCAACTTTGGTTAGGTTTCAGTGCATACAGCACTGTAGTCAGCTTCTCCATATCTAGAGAAAGAAGAGCATGGCCTCAAAAGTACTTAAGAGCCACACTATTTACTCTATTAATATTGATTCCCAGTAAAGGGAAGCTACTAACATCACCACATCAACAGCACACATCACCATCACCAGAGTGAACAGGAGCTTGTCATGCTAATTTTTCCATCGACATATATGACATGGTTGTAATTTGAGAAATTATGTATACAAAAGGTTTGTTTCTAAAAGTTGGATAAAATAAATAAAAAGGTGCTGCTTAATCATGAGTAATTTTGAATAATTTTGATAACCATATTAATGTTTGATAATTGGATGCCATGATGATAATAAGTGAGGACAACCTTATTTTTGCTTTTGACTCCCAAAAATATTTTCTGGATTGCTGTGGTTTTCCAGCTGTATTCATCATGCCTCATACCTTTTCACATAAAGTTTACTGCAATAGCATATGGAGATTGAATAAGAGCTTCCCCTTCCAAAAAAAGAATTTCTCTTTAGAATGTTATTTAAAATGTAATGGATAAGGCGAAGTTAACTCATAGACATCATAAAAGCAAAATATAATTGATTTTCACTAGCATTCTTTCCCTTAAGCCCTTGGGTATATTATAGTTTGTCTATTAGCTGTAGTCTGGTTGAATTTCTAAGCTTCTGGTGGAAAATGTTACATGGGAAATTCTCCTTGCTTCTATTCCTAAAATTGACATTCACCACACATCTTGGGTCATCCTCTCTCAACTGTCCTTTAGCTCTAGGCATGCTTGGGGCTTCTGTAGGTGGATTCAGGACAGACTGAAAGCTGGCAGACTCATGGCGCCCAGTCTGTCAGGAAAGGGAATATAGATGGAGTGGGCTGAAGATAGTCTGAAGACATGTTTTGTACTCTTTGTTCCCTGGCCATCTGTTGTGCTTACTTCCAACCTAAGAAAGCTAATTCCATGTGGAAGAAAAATATTTACCATTTTTACCATTTGCTAATATTTAAAGTTCTAAAGGTTATCTTATGTTTCCTAATATAGCTCAATTTGGCTTCATTGAAAACTTTTTCCTATTACACTGCTTATGACTAGGGATTTTATTATTTATATTACTAAAATTTTTCTACTGTCCAGGAGTTTATCAAGCCAGCTTTTTGTTTTTATCACAGCAAGAGCTTTGGATTTAGTTACTGGGGAAACTGATTTGAGAAGCCAGGTCATTGTCTAAATTTTAAAGATATGTAACTAGCTAAAGAATGAAAAATAACTTGTTGTCTTTTGTCTGAACATATAACAAATGTTTCCTAAAAGCATATCTTTGTTGGGATAAAAGCACATTATTTAAAATTATAAGATGAATATTTCATCCTTTATAAGGACCTATCTGTTTTGTCCTAAGATGATATGAGTATCCAATTTAAGTCTAAAGTATGTTCAGATTTCAGGTAAATAATTTAATAAACTGTGTTATAATAATATTGCTTTAGTAAAGTCAGTAAGTGTGCATTATTTTCAGAATTCCAATTTCAGCTGTAAATTTTCTAAATTAAAATCAGGTATAACCAGTAAAACAAATATGAATGAAATATTTACATTGTTCTGCTGGAGAGAGACAATAAATGGAGGACAATCTTGTAACCACCAAGATGTATGAAGAAAAAGACCCTGTATCTTTTTTTTTCCAGGGTTTTCTGCTATGAAACTCATGTACATCCTTGTATAGAGTGAATGATAAAGTCTGACTCATTTTGGAGCACTGATCATCTCTAACTATAGTCCCACTGTAGCATACCGATAATTAAGAAAGAATTAGGCTTTCTATTATAAACCACTATTTTTAGACTTTCACATTTTGGTAATTTCTTCTCTCAATAAAAGAGGACAGGTATTGAATTAGGTAAGTCTGAATAGAAAATGATTTCAGAGGACCTATATACATAAGGTTCCTATAGAAACCTAGGTTTGGGGGATAGGAAATGGACGTATAAATAGACCTGTCATTGACCAGTCGATCCCAGGAACACAATTATTACTTGCAGATAAGAAGTATTTCTTCATGCCTATGCTAAATCCCTCAGACGGCAATCTGTTTATTTCCTCTGGTTTTCTCTGGAAGGATGAGGGATGGGGTGTATTGTCTGAATAAGTGGTTTACTTTAATTATTCTGACTTTGGAAGAAAAAGATTCTAGGACATTGTCAAAATAAAAGTATTTTCCTTCTCATTTAATG